GACACGGGACAAGAAATGATATTATATGTTTAAGCTTAAAAAACATATTACAAATTTATTACAGACAAAACGGAGCGTTGCCGAGGGACTAAGATAAAATGTCTCATAGCCCGTGATTATACTACTAGCTCTCCAAACTCTTCAGGCCCGGACCACAGCAGTACAGGCACTGCTATATGGCGGCAGTAATAGTTAAGGGGGTGGTATCTACCTGGACGAACTCCTGGACAGAGGAGCCCTAACACCTTGTACATGAAAAGTGTTTGGTTTAAATAAATAAATCGTGGTTTAGTAGCAGCGTGAGCGACTCCACTGGCCTATATCATTTTTTTTATAGAATAAAGGTGACAAGCGAGCACACAGTCCACCTGATGGCAAGTGGTTGCTGTGGCCCATAGACATCTACATGTATCCTCGGTTACGAAGCAAGATGCGGATACGTTGTCACCCGTGAAGACTAAGATGGAATACCTCGTTTCCAGTAAAAAGGGTCTCCAGTTCTCTACACTCACCATACGAAACATAGCAGCATTAAACTGCTATTCTGTGAGAGCGTGTCCCTTCCCCGGTCGAGCTGACCCATTCGTGCTACAACTAATATATCTGCAGTATGGCTCTATCACGTACAAGTCGTAAGAGACGAATGAGGAGATGGGCAGCAGCGTCTTCTTAATAACAACTCATAATAACAAAAAACCGCGGTTGCCTATCCTTTTTTTTTTAAAGAATGTGGGTTACAAACGGGCGCACAGTCCACCTGATGGTAAGTGCATGATGTGAGCCATAGCAATCTACATATACTCGTATCTTAGATTAAGAATTAAAATGCAGATGCGTTGTCACCCGTGAGGACTACGATGGAATGTCTCATTTCTAGTAAAAAGGGTCTCCGGTTCTCTACACTCACCATACGAAACATAGTAGCATTAAGCTACTATTTTTCGCTGGTATTCTGTGAGGGCGTGGTCCTTTCCCGGTCGAGCCGACCCATTCGTGCTACAACCATTATAAAGCTGCAGCGTGACTCTACCACATAAAAAAAACGTGCTTGCCAAGCGTGGTAACTATAGCGAATACATTATCTCCCTATTAGGCACACTATGGGGAAAGCCTATGTTCAGCAACTGACTTTTGATATGCTGTAATGAATGAATGAATGAATTATTATATAATAATATACTAATTATTATTGGAACGAAGTTCCTTATCGGACGGTACGGGTTTGGCGGATGGGAGCTAGGTGACATAAAGTGTAAGAAGTTTTCGTCACTACCCCTTGTGTCATAGTGTATTTTAAATGACGCCTCCTTTTAATAGACGCTAGTATTTGTATTTGTTAATCAATAATATAATACGTTTATCAGTAATAAGGAACTTCGTTCCAACCGAGTGTTCCACGACACTCACGCATGTTTTTTTTCTTTATAAAATTATTATCTTACGTAATTCCAATATTTTGAGTTCCCAGACAATGGGCAGTGGGAATGGCCATATCTCGAATACTCGGCAACTGATAGGGAACAAAGCTTCTCGAGTGGTAGTCTTATATGTAAGAAAAGTACTGGTGTGTCTTGTGTCTTTGTGTCTTGTGAAATATTTAAAGACGATGGCAAGGGGCCCGACGGTAGGTATGACTTTCGTCCCTTGGGAGAGAGGTAGAGCCCTAGTGTGGGATGCTACTTACGTAGAATCTTTGGCAACCTCTCATATCAGAGGTACTCCGTTTAGAACTGAGGCGGCATGGCATCAGAGTCAGCTGAACTAAGTAAGTGGCGCAAATATGATTATTCTGAGAGATGGCTACATATATGTGTCCGTGGGGTCCACGTGCGGTGAAGTTCCTAAAGGAACTCCGTCCGCGGCTTATCGTTGCTGTTGGTGATAAGAGGGCTGGGTCTTTTCTCGCTCAAAGGCTAAGTATAGCTATTCAGCGAGGAAACGTAGCCAGCGTTTTTGGCACGATACCACGGGGAGTAGGACTGTATGACAATTTAGTATTTTGTTTTATTACAGTTTTTTTAATATTGTACATAATTCATTAGATGTTGATATTAAATGAAAAGTTAAGGCTCTGCTGTGACTGACCAGTAGCGGGAGGGCGGGAGGTGCTCTTCAAACTAGGTAGGCACATCATTTTATTTTATCGAGCGGAAGTACGCGAGGTAACTTTTTAAAAACTTTAATTTAGTGTGTCATTTTTCTTGTTCGTCTATTCAACATATTTGTAAGGAAAATGAGAGGCGCGGCGATAAATCAAACTAACAATACGACGCAGGTTGACAATAGATGGTACAGGGGCCGGAAATGAGTAAACTGTAATTGACAACTTCTAGTATAATGTGTTCTGCATAGAATTTAATAGGAGCACTATGATAGACTAGCTGTCCTTGTGGTTTAATTTTTTTGCGCTGAACCCTAATTATTTTTCTAAAATTGAAGTAGCCCAAGTTACATCTTATAACATCAGCTATCTGCCAGTGTAAGTCCGATCAAAATCGGTTCAGCCATATCGGAAATTAGCCGGAACAAACAGACAGACAGACTAAAATTTTACAAACTTGTGTTTTTGTTATATGGTACCGTATACACTTTCATATGCATTTAGTAAAAAGCATTTTGACATTACATACAGACACTTCAATTTTATTTATTCGTATAGAATTTCTATGTCATGGGCATGGATGGGTAATAATTGGAGTAGTTAAAGATTTATGGAAATGGTTGCCAATAGAAATATTTAATAAAAATAAAAGACAGAAAATCAATACATTCGAAAAATAAAACTTCGAAGCGCCTTTAGCTTTAATAGAACATTGTTTACCCACAACAGAACGGAGGTGTTTACGTTAATCTCCAAGACGGTTAAACCGATTTAGTAAATATTTCTGTAAAGGGTTTGTGATTCATCGGCTATGGTTATTATGGTGTTTTTTTTTTGGTTATGGTGTTAACTTGTCAGGGGGCGTTGCAATAAACATATTTTCGCATTTTTCCCCTGGACGTTTTGATTGATTTTGATACTGTTTTTTTTTCAAACATTAGCAGAGCGATGGTTATCATGGCGGGAATCGGGGTTGGCTTTGATTTTTCAACAGTAAGTTGTTTGCGAATGATGGTTCGCATTGCCGCTAACCCTACAACCACATTTTACTTCTGTTTTCGTCGATTTACTCAATTAAGTTTAAAACAGCTCGGACATCCTTTCATGTTCTACAGGATACATTTCGGAAAGTGAGAGACTTCCCAAGCAGTATTCAAACTGTATACGAGCTGTATTGAAGTTCGTTTTTATACTGGAGGCTGTATTTTATGGCTGTATAAAAGCCGTATAAGCGCTTATAGAGTTATTATAAGTAAAAAATTGGCACAAATTAGGCAACTTTATGCGTTAGTAGCGCTGTACAGTAGCAGTACAAGCATGAAGGAGGCTGTATAACTAATGTATTACAGCTGTAATTTGGTGTACAAGGAACCTATTACACGACAGATATTGTCTTATAAGTAACTTATAAAGACAAACGTTCTAAATTGCTTTTTGTACGGAATTACAAATGATTATAAAACAAAAATAACTTTTATTGAATGATGGCGACATACATTTATTAACATATATTTAACATATTAATATTATATTGGGATTGGAGTTGAGTTGTGACGGTGATAATTGGAGAATTGAAAATTTATTTATTTATTTATTTAAATAAAATGCAAAATTAAATTTACGGTAAACTTGTATATGTTTTCTATCAAAAAATTGTTGCGCCAGTTAAATAACATAATAATATAAGGACAAAATACTAAATACGGTAAATAAATTTTGGTTGTATACGTTAAAATAAAAAAAATGATGGATACGAAGGTACAGTGATCATTAGTCAAACTGAATGTAAGTAAGCTTAGACTGATGTCTAATATTCCAAAAATTATTACACACTACTACAAAATTAATTAGGTTTTAAAATGGCGGCAATTTGCTAAACAGTCTGATACCTATTTCGAGGGTTTTATAGGCTTAGTAGCTGTACTAAAAAAAAAAACTATATATGTTATGGATTATATGCAGCCATTGGTTTTTAATCAGTTCAATTTTATTATTTACGCTGTATAGCAGTTTTTTCAACATAATAATATATAATTCTCTTTAGAGATACGTATAAAAGATGAAAAACCTTTGATCTTTTAACGGCACCAAATCTTTTTCTTTTTTTTTTCATATATTGATAACAAATTAATTTTGTTCATTAGCACAATATAAACACAAAACGCCTGCAAAATAGCGATATTTTGTCACTTATACAGATTTAAGGCTACTATAGCTGTTATTTATTTTTTTAGTTTTACTCGTACCAATATCAGTACAAGGGACTAGACAGTTCACCTGTGCTTGACATGGGCATTATTATTAGAGAAAGAATGTCAAAGCATTCTCACCATCGTTCTCTCCTGTTTTAGATCTGGTAATTGTAAGTTTCGAATTATATATGTCGAACATATAAATCCATCTGCCGACATTGCTAAAATTGTAATTGACAATTTTATGGACTGCCTCACCTTGTACTCGGCTGTGAATAACATCGTGAGGAATGTTCGGGTGGTACGTGATACGTGTAAAGTTTGTCAATTCTTACCAAAGCAGCATAAATAAAAGGAGAACGGTGTCAAGAAGAAAGAACCTTATTGTCTGTTGCACTAAAAGATTTCTTTAGTATTGTTCTTTGATACTCACGAGAAAACTTCCCTCAACAGAACTGACAGCAATGATTATAATAATATAATTTATTAAGATAATTTTGGCCTTGTATTAGTTTTAAAAAAATAATTGGCTGGAATACTGTTACATAAGCTAGTAGTAGTAACTGTTCTTATCCCTTCCATAGTACCAACATAAACTTAGTACAACACAGAACATGCTCCGTGACTCTCTCAGAAACAAGGTATCAGTAATGGCACGTCTATAGATTGTTAGTTATTTTTCTTATTTTTACAAAATATAGTCTTACCATTAATTGTCTAACACCACCAAGAAATAAATTCCTATAGTCAGTCCAAAATCTTCAGCACAGGAAACACTATCTTCATTACCAACATAAGAGCGCAAATGTCAGTCTTTTCCATTAATGTTCCGATCGCGTCGGTCTCGCTAAAGTATCGCTTTCCGCTGTATGTTAGCTTTATCTAGTTCAATCTTACTCGTACTGGACCCAGTTAAGGCACTTTATTGGGTGGACTTCTTGTCAGCAAATCACGTTCTGTGAAGGAAAAATAAGCATCAATTTATCGCTACATGTATACACGTATAGCTAAGAACTATCAGTTTTAAAAAAATGATGAGTAAAGAACATTGTAGGTACATTAAATAAGGTTTTTCGGAAAATCGAAATAATACGCATCCTTTAGGAAAACAGATATGCTTAATTATAACGCTTTGCCTAGTGACCAATAAAACACTTTATTTGTACGGTGTCTAAGGCCGCTTTTACATTATCATGTATATGGTCATAGAAATATGAGAAAACTATGGCAATGGAGTTTATACCTATGAGTAAAATGTATCATATATCTAGTAAAATATAGACAAACAAAACTAATAATAATTTTGGTTATTCTGGTTCTACTGAGAACATCATCGTTACAGATTCTATCTTCATAAAAACTGAGCACAGCACCCTTACAAAGATCTCCGTGATTGAGCTTCCTCATACGGCCAGCTGACTCAGTTGAAATCACTGGGAAAATGCATTGATTGTACACTTAAGGTTTTCGGGATTGCTGGGTAATGTCTGGTAAAGCGATCGGAAAACCCTCTTCAATATCACAGAAGCCCATGTCTACGTAGATTATTATGTGCTAATACACAATCAAAAAATAACAACAAAATAACAACAAAAAGTTAATTTCAAATAGTACATACGTTTGAGATGAAATATAAATTTTTAAGTCTCAATTATTATATGAAATGTTTTTTTTATAGGGTAGGGTGATAAACGAGCACACAGTCTACCTAATGGTAAGTGGTTGCTGTGACCCATAGACATCCACATCTATCCTCTTTTCCAGTAAAAAGGGTCTACGTTTCCCTACACTCACCATACGAAACACAGCAGTGTTAAGCTGCTATTTATATATTCTGTGAGAGCTTGGTCCTTCATAAGTTGAAGAAGTCGTTGCAGATTAAATACCAACATCTATCGAAGGACCGTACGATCTTTTCGGCTTTTTTTCATTTGACCACACCTACGGGCCGACATCAAGGCCATCGATTTTCTCACATTTCACGTGTTTATTTAACAGTAAAAACAAACCAATATTAATGTCATTTATGGATAGTTCCAATTTTGAGTTGACAGACTATTCGTGTTTTTATTTATTTGCCGTTCTATATTGTATTCTGTACCTCACTCAAAGTATTTAGATTGATATTGATAAGTTATTCTTCTTATTCCTTCCGCATTTAGTAGATATTCTTAGAGTTAATCGAATATTATACAATAATTTCAATTATATTAAAGTAAAAAAAAAAAAAACAATCCAAAATGTTAGACAAAATTTGAGTTCATTTCATTTCATAAAAAGGAACGCACGATATTTGTACTAGAAAAAAAAAACGACGACAGTTAAATTAATACTAATCTTTTGTTAGAATCTTAAACCACTCAAAAGGAAGACACTCGTTTCGCGGTTAATGATTAAAGTGGCTGTTTATATGAAGCTGAAGGAATAAAATAGAAATAGACCTTGAGTTAAGAAACCTAAACTAGACTTTACAACGGAGTACATGAGAAGATTCAAGACCGTACTTCGAATATTTAGTTTTCTGTTCGGTTTGAACTAGAATTCGCCACAGTTCAGAATGTTGTTTCATGTACGAAAGAAATATCTTGAGAAAATTCAAACTTTTGAAATTTTTTAAGTAAGATAGCTAAAGTCAAACTAGTCCATAAGTACAATCCATAAGGATAGTGTCGCTTTTAAGTTACTTACCGTTATCTATAAATAAACTTAATTTCATTCAACGTGTAGTCATCATCATGATCATTACAGCCCTTCACAAATCCACTGATAAACATAGGCCTCCCCCAAGGAATGCCACAAAGCACGGTCCTGAGCCATCTGCATCCATCGAATTCTTGCATGTCTTACCAGGTCTTCACTCCATCTAGTGGGGGGTCGCCCTACACTTTGCCTACTGGTACGAGGCTGCCACTCAAGAACCCTTTTTCCCCTTAGGTTGTGGGTTCTTCGAGTAATATTGCCGGTCCATTGACACTTCGGCTTACGAGTACCTACTTCACGTACATTTGGCATTATTAAAACAGATAAATAAATGTTAAATAAATTTGTCAAACCTTGTAATTAAAAAAAAATCTTTACGTATATTCCAATTGAATTGCCACGATATTAACAACTACACGTAACTTTTATTAACTACACACTCATTTATTTAAATAAAGGACCTACATAAATCTACAATTAAAATTCCATTGATAAAAAAAAAAACTTACCAAAAAGCGTCATACGCGTCAATAAACCAAAAGACACTCATTTTGAACGTTACTTTTTAAGTAAGAATTAAAAACAAAATTAAAAAAAGACAAAATTACAGTGTGAATGCAGAGAGCGCGTGCTGCGTCGAATTCCGGTGGGAGTCTGGATTGCAGTAATACTCTGTACGCCTAATCTAAATTGTCCCAATAAGGGGGAGCCTTACAATTGGTGCATTACAATGACCACTAAATAGTTGCCATGACACCTTTCAGATATTGTCGAATTTATTCCCTGTGTGTGACGTGTTAGAACAGTATACACGCGAGCTAATGTTCTGTACACATTCAAAAGGATTAAAAATAATTTAAAATTAAACATTTTGCCCAACCGACTTCAATATAAATTATTAAGAATAACTCAAAAACTATTGGTCAGACCTTCATCAAATTTATATGGGACCACATGTGAAGCACCAACTTTCAAATAAAAAAAAATCATCGAAATCGGTTCACCCAGTAAAAAGTTATGAGGTAACACGCATAAAAAAACATACAGTCGAATTGAGTACAGTGTCCTTTTTGAAGTCGGTAGATTACACAAAACATTAGAAAAGGAACGCATAGTTAACTGGCGATTCACAAGGGTTCACCTGTTATCCGAAATAAATCTTTCTGCAACAAATTGATGATTATCGAATGCAATCTGTTCGCTTACGTGCTGTTGCCACTGTGAACGATAGGTACTACTTGAATGCATGCATCGGGTATGGTATAATTTAAAATTAAAAATTTAGTACAGCCGACTTCAATATAAGTTATTAAGAATAACTCAAATAACTCAAAAACTATTGGTCTGACCTTGATCAAATTTAAAAGAGAAGTATCAGCTTTCATATAAAAAAAGAATCATCGAAATCGGTCCACCCAGTAAAAAGTTATGAGGTAACACACATAATACATAAAAAAATATACGCGTCGAATTGAGTACCGTCTCCTTTTTGGAAGTCGGCAGAAAATTACAACTAGACTAAAGATGAAGTGAAGACTGAGTGCAGTGCATAGAGTGACTGGGACTCTATTCTATTGTATGTCAAACAACGCACTTAAGGCAACGCTGAATAAATATTTATGTATGGTAGTGAAAATTGGGTGTGGCAAACAGTAAAATTAAGAAGTATGTTAGGGGTGACTCTGTGGAATCGCTTACCACTGGCGATTGTTCCGGACGGATACGACTTAGGGAACTTCAAGAAACGAGTTTACTCATTTAAAAGGCCGGCAACGCACATGTAATTCTCCTGGTGTTGCAGTTGTTCATGGGCAGCGGTTGACACTTACCGTCAGGTGAGCCGCATGCTTTTTGCCTTCTTCTATATAAAAAAAACGAATTTAAAAGTGTGGTTTGCAAGATGTTGTGACCAGAATTAAGAAAGGAATGCTTGTTCTCCTAACACGCAGGAAGTATGAATGAAAAAAGAGTGACAAAACAAATTTATATCGAAGATCGAGTGACTGAGTTGGCAATAGTTGCCCAAGACAAAAGTTTATCGATTAAATTGGCGAAGATGGGTCATTATGGGTAAAAGTTAAAAAAGCAAAAGTGCAGCCTATTTACGTCACACTGCTGGGCACAGGCCTCCTCTCATTTCTGAGAGGGTTGTAGGGCAAGGAAATGTCCGCCGCGCTGCCCCAATGCGTGTTGGCGAACTTCACATGTCTTCGAAATATTTTTTTCTTATTTCTCAGACATGCAGGTTTCCTCACGATGTTTTCCTTCGCCGCCGTGCACGTGGTAAATCAGCACTTAAAAATGCAATTAACAATTTCATTGGTGCCTGCGGGGATCGAACCCGGGTTGCTCGAGTACTGTGAAGCTTACAGCGAGCGCTAACCATCTGAGCTACCACGGCTCGCATTATGGGTAATTAATCTTATTTGTAGTTTTCTATTAAGTCTAATATATTTAATTTTCTGATGAGAAAAAGCTACTAATCGGAGATTAATAAATGTTTTCTTGCTCTCCTGTAATTTTTTGAATAATTGATGTTCGCCCCTTTGCGGCGTCAACGACGAATTACACCAAGGCACCTTGCATTCCACGAAACTGGTATCTCACAGAGACAGCCCTATAATAAGCCGGGAGATACTTGATCTGTGTTTCTTGCATAAAATAATGAATTCCGCAGTAAGCTGCTTGAACAGGTTCCTCTATCAGTACCAAGTAGATATCCTCGCTATTGCAATACTTCTCGAAAAACATTTCACATACTTTTCACTAGAACTCATCTTGGTAAGCAAGCTCCCATAGTTCACATCCACAACTCTTATGCTGTCTAAATAAAACTCACCGATCATCTATCGGTGAGTCCGCATTTACATTGAAAAAAAGAAAAAGGAAAAAAAAAGAAAATATATATTTACTATTTTTTTCCTTTTGTTGCCTTCTCAAAGTTTACATGTATTTTTGTTGGTAAATGTTATGTACACTTGTTATCGATATACATATCAGTGAGCGTGTTACTTGTTATATCGGGTGTCCCAGAACTCAACGTCAAGCCGAAACGGGGTGACAGGATTGATTGTAACCATCATGAGAAAAATCAGAAAAAAAATCTTTAGTTTTTTACTTTCTTTACTCACTTTAGTTACTGTTAGCAATTATAGGCTTTCCAATAGTCCAGATACGCGAGGCAAAGGGGCAGGATTTTGGTCTTCGGCCTTATATATATACAATTTGCTGAAGGGTGTGTATGTGGTCTATGGTA